GGATCCCCCGAAAGGCAGTGAGAGTAACCCAGAGCCCTGGCCTGTCGATAGTATCGCAGGCCTTGCTTGACCAAGCCACTAGGTCCTGTTGAAATCCCCTACACCTCTGCTGTAGCATACAGAGGATGTGGCGTCGGTGCGTCTGTGTGTGACCCACACAGACACATGCATATAGCCATAACAGACGTTTGGGGTGAAGGTTGTTAGCGAGTAGCACCACGCCCGGCCGCCTTTGTCTCCCCATTTGCAAGGTTTTACACGCCGTACCAAATACTCATTTGAGGCTGAGTCGACCTAGGGGAGGCTCAGGTAACGGTTGGGATAATCGTAACTCGGCTCGCGACCTTTTCAACACACACCACCCCACACACGTGTACACACACACCACCCCACACACGTGTACACACACACCACCCCACACACGTGTACACACACACCACCCCACACACGTGTAGACACACACCACCCCACACACGTGTACACACACACCACCCCACACACGTGTACACACACACCACCCCACACACGTGTACACACACACCACCCTACACACGTGTACACACACACCACCCTACACACGTGTACACACACACCACCCTACACACGTGTACACACACACCACCCCACACACGTGTACACACACACCACCCCACACACGTGTACACACACACCACCCCACACACGTGTACACACACACCACCCCACACACGTGTACACACACACCACCCCACACACGTGTACACACACACCACCCCACACACGTGTACACACACACCACCCTACACACGTGTACACACACACCACCCCACACACGTGTACACACACACCACCCCACACACGTGTACACACACACCACCCCACACACGTGTACACACACACCACCCCACACACGTGTACACACACACCACCCTACACACGTGTACACACACACCACCCCACACACGTGTACACACACACCACCCCACACACGTGTACACACACACCACCCCACACACGTGTACACACACACCACCCCACACACGTGTACACACACACAACCTCACACACGTGTAGACACACACAACCCTACACACGTGTACACACACAACCCTACACACGTGTACACACACACCACCCCACACACGTGTACACACACACCACCCCACACACGTGTACACACACACCACCCTACACACGTGTACACACACACCACCCTACACACGTGTACACACACACGTGTACACACACACCACCCTACAGACGTGTACACACACACGTGTATACACACACACCACCCTACACACGTGTACACACACACGTGTATACACACACACCACCCTACACACGTGTACACACACACACGTGTACACACACACCACCCTACACACGTGTACACACACACACGTGTACACACACACCACCCTACACACGTGTACACACACACGTGTATACACACACACCACCCTACACACGTGTACACACACACACACGTGTACACACACACCACCCTACACACGTGTACACACACACCACCCTACACACGCTGCATTATTCATGTCGAGAACACAGCCCGCCGGACCTCGTGGCATTATTGGGCGCCATTATTATTCGTTATCTGGGTCACTGCCGTCGCTGTTGGGCCCCAGCGGCAACGCCCCGCGTCATCTGGGATGAGGATATCACCCACAAAGACATCTATCGATTTCCCGCCATCCCTCGGTCGTGTCGGGAGTGGGGGGGCAGCCGCCGAACGGACGGCTGACGTGAATAGATTGCGTAAAAACTCACGTTCCCCCCCCTCCCGTAGTGTCGTGGTCGCTACGACGATGGTGTCTGGGGGCACGCTGGGTTCGAGTGGGGGGGGGGGGTGGTGGTCGTTGGCGATTTTCTGGTGGCGATAAGATAGGGAGGGGGGGGGCGGGGAAGGTGGCCTTCCACGACAAAAAAAAAGTTGAGAATAATTGTGGGGAGATAAGCTGATTGAGGATTGTCGCTTGGGAGTTTGAGGGGTGGGGGAGGTGTCGAGGCAGTGGTTTGTAATTCCTCCTCCGCTTTTCCCCCGCGGGGTGCTAATGAATGGGTCGGAGCGTCGACGTCCATTCTCTCGCCGCAAGCTGTCCTCGTCCCATCGCTCTCGGCCCGAATCGTGAGCGGGCGCGTCCACAGCTCCATTCCCGCCCACCCAGCAGCGTAGCTAGCGGGGGGGGGGGGCAGGGGGGGCCTTCCCACCTCCCCCTGGCCCCCCACTGGTAGCCAAAGCTACGAGTTGGGGGGGGTGGCCCATTTGACAACCACCGCGAGATATGTTTTCAACAACGGTGTCGAAGAAGGACGGCACCGACTCTTGCGAAGACGGCGCCGCGTCCCTACGGCGTTAAATGCCCGGGACCGTGAGCGTAACGACGATGAGACGAGAGAAGCCAGCGATGTATAATGGCACGAGGTGCGACCGTGCGAGACGAATCAAATATCGGGGTCCCACCTGACCCGATTTGCTGCACCCCCTGAGCTGCTAATGTCGTCAGGACGCCACTGGGCCCGTGCCAAACGCCGGCGATCATTATCCGAACCAGTCCTGGGCCTCGCCACTTGGGAGACAAAGGCGAGCCGCCGTGATGGTGCTGCTGGCCACCGACAGCACTTGCCCCAACGGTCTAAGGCTATACAGGGGATGTTTGTCCTCTGTGAATATTGAAGCACAGCAACAGCAACCGCCACGTGTGTTTCCGCGTTGTTGTTGTTGTTGCTGTTGCTGTTGCACTGCCGAGATTCAATGCTGATATTAACGATAACGTTACATTAACGAGTATCCATAACACGGGTTTTTGGGTTCAATCGTGTAAATATAAATGTGTCGTTAAACCCGCCACCACCTGACACAGCCAATTCATAAGGTTTGCCACGTAAACAAAGAGTGCCGATTCCTTACTCGCGTGCTAGCGAGTAAACCCACGACATTTACAATTCAAGTCCGACGTTTCGCCGGTAATTGCAACCAGCATCATGGAGAACTCCTCCTGTTTCGCTCTTAAATAGAGGGATGCATCTGAACCAATCATGTGCGAAGACCAGGAGGGGGCAGGGGTAAATGCATGCACATCAATCGCAATGGATTACCCATTACTGGTTGGGTTATTCATAGGGTATTCAACACAAAAAATGTGAATTCGCGATGCACGTCGCGCGGTGCGCATTATGCACGCGCACCGCGCATGCACATCCTGCTGTTTTTAAATACTTCTGTAGCAAACGCTGCATTGGCTCGACGGGGCGATTGATCCGCACGAGACTAAAAGAACATCAAGGTAATATTAAATACTCCCAACCTCAACTTGTCTGCAGTGGCGCAACACGCTTGCCAACAGGGACACGCTCAATAGATTTTGATTTTGTTACATAATCTATTGAAATTGAGATTTTTTTTGTTTTACATTCTGATAGCTACAGGCTTAGAGCTACTTGGAAGCCTATTGTCAAGTAATACTACCGCACTGTTAAACGGCAATGCCTATACAGGTCACCAATAGTTGAGGGTGATTAACTGTGAGCAGCCAATAACAGCTACTGCGATTTATTGCACCCAAAAACGGCAGGATGTGCATGCACGGTGCGCGTTCATAAAGTGCACGTGCAATGTATGTCGATTACCCTAGGAAGAATAACCCAACCAGCAATGGATATCAATTGTAATTAATATTTCATACATTAACCCCGTCCCACCCACCCACCCCCCCCCACACTCTGGTCTTCACAGCTGATTGGCTCACAAGTTATGACATCACATTAACCCCGCTATTTAAGACGGACACAGGAAGAGGATTTCTCCACAACTCCGGCTATCGCCTGATGATGCTGGTTGTAATTACTGGCGAAACGTCGTACTCCAATTGTAAATGTCGTGAGTTTACTCGCCAGCTACTTGGCACGTTCTGTTTACGTGACACTAAATCTTACTAATTGGACCTTACTAATTGGCTGTGTCGGGTGGTGGCGGGTTTAGCGACACATTTATATTTACGCAAATCTAACCCAAAAAAACCTTTATTGTGGATAATATTGGTCGTGGAAGCTTACGTGTTCAATTAACGATTTTATTAATGATGCACACGCTTTAAGATGCGCTTGTGCGGCCGTCTGGAACGCTCTTTTTTCCAATATTAGGAAGCCACTGGAGCTATGCACTCTTAAATCGTCCAGATTGAAAACTAAAATTTTTTTAGAACTGCTTTTTGTGTTGAGCTTGTTTTCCTTCCCCAGCACCTCCGATTATCAAGGGTTGGCTACGCACGGTGTGAAAGAAGTTCAACATTATATTAATAGCTCAATGGGTTTTACATCGTAAGATTTCTTTAAAAAAAAAACTGTTTAGTTTTATTTGTACTGTATATCCTTCCTAAGTGATTTGTTTAACTTTACTATCCTTTGCACTCCTATTGTTTTTGTTATTTTGTGTTTGTAGTTGTAACATTCTGATCCCTGTGCCCGCTAAAACAGAGCTTCACAGCTCATCGGATTCCTCCTGCAGGATAAATAAAAATTAAGATTTACCAACGATGACGTTAACGAGACCAAGCACGATGATGCAGACGACGACGATGGTGACAACGATGATGATGACGACGATGATGCTGACGACGATGATGATGACGATGATGATGACGACGACGATGATGATGACGACGATGATGCTGACGACGATGATGATGATGACGATGGTGACGACGACGATGATGACGACGATGATGGTGACGACGACGATGATGACGACGATGATGATGACGACGACGATGGTGACGACGACGATGGTGACGACGACGATGGTGACGACGACGATGGTGACGACGACGACGATGGTGACGACGACGATGGTGACGACGACGATGGTGACGACGACGATGGTGACGACGATGATGCTGGTGATGACGATGATGCTGGTGACGACGATGATGACGACGATGACGACGATGATGCTGGTGACGATGACGATGACGACGATGATGCTTGGTGTGGTGCGTGTGCAGGGAGGAGGCGGCGGCGGTGGCCGTGCTGCGTGTGGACTTCGCGATGGGAAACTTCACGAGCCAGTCCGTGACGCGCCGCATCCTCTGGCAGCTGGAGCTCCACGGCGCCAAGAGGACCGCCTCCTCCTCGACCTCCTCATCGTCCTCGTCACCGTCCACCTCGTCGCCCGACTCGGAGCGAGTGATGACGGAGCTCACGGCCATGCAGAAGGACATTGTTGCCATCGTCCCGGTCGCCATGGTAACTGATTGACTACCCCTCCCTGCCCAGCCACACTCCTTCGTTACCCCCGACTCTATCATTCTCCTGTGATCCGTCCCTTCTTTGGCCTTCCCTCCATCCCTATCTCCCCCCTCCCTCCTCCCCCTCCCTCCCAACGTCTTCCCCTCCCTCCATCCTCTATCGCCTCCCTCTACCCTTCGTTCTCTCCCCATCTTCTGCTCCCTCTCCCATTTTTTCCCTCCCTCCCTCTTCCCCTCTCTGTTAGACCACCCCGATTCCCTCTGTCACTTTTCTGTCTCTCTTCGTCCGTTCAACCCTCCCTGCCTGCCTCCCCCTCCCTCCCTCCCTGCCTCCCTGCCTCCTCCCCCTCCTTCCCTGCCTCCCTCCCTCCCTGCCTCCTCCCCCTCCCTCCCTGCCTCCCTGCCTCCTCCCCCTCCTTCCCTGCCTCCCTCCCTGCCTCCTCCCCCTCCCTCCCTGCCTCCCCCCCTCCCTGCCTCCTCCCTCCCTCCCTGCCTCCTCCCCCTCCCTCCCTCCCTGCCTCCCTCCCTCCCTGCCTCCCTCCCTCCCTTGCCTGCCTCCTCCCCCTCCCTCCCTTGCCTGCCTCCCTTCCTCGCGTCCACACACACGCGTCCACACACACGCGTGCACACACGCACACACACGTACACGCACACACGCACACACGCACACACACACAGACGCACACACGCGTACACGCACGCGCCCGCTGTACCACCTCTCCTCTGGGCCCCCCATGAGCGATGTCCGTTGCGTGGTCTCAAGCAGCCGTGATTTATGTTTTTGTCAGACGCCGAAAATTAATGAAGACGTTTGTCAAGTGTATTCATTTCGGAAGCCAAAACTGCATAGGCGTGCACACTTTTTATCTGTGTGTGCACGCACGCATACACGCACGCGGGCAATGTTGAGGAGTGGCATTGTCGTGGTGAACGCCACAGCGCTCCGAACCCGGTGCCTCGAGTTCGATTCCCGCTCACGGCCAACGCCAGTGACGAGGTAGACTCGGCCTTCGACGAGCATCTTGCAAACGTCGGCACTGGGGGAGACGCACAAAGGCGACCGGGCCGTGGTGCTGGCCACCCACCTCTCTTCGTGTGCTGTGCCTGCCTGAATCGGTGCTTTTCGCTAACAACATTTAGGCAGCCTGTTAGGGCTAATGTAGGGGTGGTCTTTGTCTGAGCGTGCACGTGTGCGGTGAATGTGTTATTGGCATGGGGAGCCGCAGTGCGGTGCTTATACGTGCCCATGTGTGGTGGCGATGATGATGACGACGATGATGATATCAGCCACTTCGACGATGAGCTGTCACAACGTGTGGTCAGGTCGCCTCTGAAAAATAGCTCATTGGGGCTATCCCTGGTAAAAAAAAAAAAACTAACAAAAATGGTTCAGATAATCATCGCCATCGTCATCTAAAGCGCTCAATTCGCAAGCAGTCTCTCACCGTGAGGCCTGTGTTCTAGAGGGCCCTGGCTCGGGACCCTTGTGTGCGCTCTGAAGCCGGGTGAGGCAGCGACGCATCTGAATCAAAGGCGGGGAGGAGACGCGGGCAATGAGAGTCAATTGGCGTCGCGGTGGCTCGGAGATGTTAACTACATCGCCTGGTATGCAGGAGGTCGTGGCTTCGATCCCAACCCTGATGCCTGTTGTATATTTGGAGTTTGCGTGTGTCTCTCTCTCTCTCCCCGTGGTCGCGTGGATTTTTCTCCGGGGTTCCTGAGGTTTTTCCCTCCACATTTAGAAACACGCATTTAGAGTATCTGGCTCCTGCTATAAATGTCCACATTATGATACGCCACTTCGTTGAGCTATCATTTGTGGCCAGGTCGCTTCTGAAAAAATAACTACATAGCTCAGTGGGCCCTTACTTGGTAAAATAAAAAATAGTTTTTTTTTATCTAGTTTAGTTTATAGTCGAGTGGCCTGTGACATCAACGCCCATGAGGTGAATCAACTTAGGCGACAGCCAGTCGTTAACAGTAATCCTCGTAGCCAGAATTTACAACGCATTTCTCAATCCACTGCTGGATGAAACCACCCCTTCCCCACGCCATGCCAATCACGTGGGGTCTTTGTTTAACCGTACTTCACCACAATGGCCCAGTGGGATTTTTTTTGTGATGGGAACCCCCCTGGGCCGGCTCACATCTCACTTCAGGTATCGCTCAGGTATCGCTCAGGTATCGCTCAGATATCACTCACACATCGTCCTTATGACCTCGCGTGATTCAGAGAGAACTATAAACTATCTTACAA